AAAGATATTGTAAGAATCCATTCATACTAGAGGTCTATAGATACTGAAATATAGACTTTATGAATGCTGATAGTTTTGATTCACATGAAATGTCTGTGATAGAATTCATACCGGGCCCATCCATCAATCGTTTGATGTATAATAATTATATATAATTAGATTAAATAAACTTTCGAATCTAATGGGTCTGCCCTGGGCCCAAAACCAAACAAGGAAGAGGATCCGAGGCGGAACCACCATTTCTAGGTCGACATGGTCTTAATTATATATAACTTTGATTTATACATCAAACAATCATAAATTGGACACCAGTAAATTTAGTCTGAAAACAATCCCTGTCATGAACTTGATGTAATGTTCCCAATAAAACAAATAGCGTGTCAATTTCATTGATATAACTTAGTATACAATATTCGGGAAAATTTGACCCTACGAGGGGTCTATGCTACATCAATGTATGGAAAACAATTTGACCGCCTAACAGATCCCGAAAGTGTAAACACTTAAATCGCGAGATCGGACATGAAATACTAGAAAATAATAGTAATATTTATCCGCAAAACGAGATTAAACTGAAGCGAGCAGTGCAAACACTACTTGCGGCGGTTTCGGCTCTGAGGATCACGAAGTGAAGACACGAAGTTCCTTGTTTCCCTCATTTCAGCTCTGGATTCTGCCGCTTGGCGCTCTGCTTCTGCCAGACGTCCTTCTAAAGTGGCTCGGTGTTCTCGAAGCTCTTATACTTCGGCTCGGGTCGCGGCCATTTCCCGACGAAGGACCTCAGTGCGGTCTCGAGTCCAATCGTGGTCATCATCCAACCGGCGAAGGCGAACGGAGTTGACTTGGCTGGTGGCACCAACTTCCATGAGGTGGCGGGTGTTTACCCTGGTTTGCTCCTCGTGGCGTGCGACACGGTGAACCATGATAGGAAGGGCTTTGTCGACTGACCCTCCTTGGCTGAGGTCGTAAAAACCTCGTTCCATGCCATAGGGAGGTCGTTGACCTTGCTCTCGGCTCCATCGATGTATAGTTTCGGTCCATTGGGGCGTCGGGCCTTGGAAGTGTTGCGGAGGGATAGGGGCAGGGTGTGGATCGTAGACTTCGGGTTCGGAGTCGGTTCCATCTGAGTCTTCTTCCTCTTCACCGTCTACTGATTCTTCCTCCTCCATGGGTTCTTCATCCTCCATGGGTTCCTCTTCGGAATCTTTCTCTGGGTCTTCCACAATCCAACCGGCATTCCCTTGGTTGGGGATGTAGGGGTCACCCGGTAAGTGAAATCCTGCCATTGCGCCTGTACGAGAATAGGGATAAGAAGGATATCGCGAGAAATTTTGGGAGTAATAGGTTAGTTATCGCAATTTATAATGTGGTTATTACGGTTTTTGTGTAAAATAATCCTATAGTATTTTTACGTTTGATTCTCGGGGTTTTTGGAAAGTTGAAGACTTGTTGCTCATCATGATTCTTCTTGGGCATACGTTGGTCATACCTTGGCTAAATATAGTTGATCAGGCTATATTCATCCAAGATCTGACTTCATACCCCGAAGCTGGATCATGGTGTTCAACTTGTCTCAATAATTTTGTGTTATTTCCATTATGATACTGAATTAATGAGTGCGATTGTGCGTGTACTTTTATAAAAATACAAATTTTTATTTTCAAAGTATTTTTGAAAAGCTACGTCAGAGAAATTTGGTCCCGTTGTATTTATAGTTTGTATATCTTACGTGGTTCGATATACTTAGTTCACTATAAACAAAGCTCTGATACCAATCTGTCACACCCCCAAACCGGAACGGCGGAAACGTTCGGGGGCGGAGGACGTCATGCTCAGTATCATAACCATAGTGAAGAAAGCAAACACAACCATCATAAATATAAGTTAAAAGGTTACATCATTGCAAAAATACATGTTTCCAAATAAATTACATATGATGTCAAAATAGTTTAAAAGAAATATGCGCCTTATCGTCTTGCCTTCAAAAATCTTGTGGTTACCTGTATTACTGAATACCTGAGAATACAAGTTGTTTTTGAAAGAGTATCAGCATTAAAGCTGGTGAGTTCATAAGCAATTTATGAATGAAAAATGGATGTTGTTCCTTAAGGTTTGTTACAAGTTTGTTTCCAGAAAATCCAATATTTTTTAAAAGGTTTGTTGTAGTCTTACTAAACCAAGACTTAGTATATGTAAGTAAATCGTCATACTTATGTGTGGTTTTATATTTAAATAAAACTCCTTTTTGTGAAATCCTTAAATTCCCGTGAACTGTGTGTTTTGTTAATTCCCATGTGAGTTGTTATAACCATAATAAGACTCGAAAACCTCGTACTCGACGTTCTTCAAGCGTCGGAATGTTATGACACTTGTCACCCCAGACCTGCTGGTCTAGCTGTTGCAAGCAGCTTAGGTGCGGGTTTGTCAGACGCAATATAGATCTATACACAACTATCACACTCTCCCTACAAGAGATTCTGGCTATAACTACAGGACTTTTCTGTTGTACTTAAGAGTACCCTGAAGATGAATGTCTCACAAATTTATTCATTAACATGTTCATGTAGTTTGTGATGAAATACTCATTTTGTAAATCGATTGTATTACTGTTTCTTTGATAAATGAAGTGTTCAAACTATACCTATTATAGTTTATCAGTAGTGTGTTATGATTTGATGAAACCTTGATATGTAAGACTTTGTATTTCAATAAAGATGACCTTGAAAATACTAAGTGTAAATCTTACACACTTTGCTCAGCATCTTACAAGGTGTGAATAACCCTTAAACTTGTTTTGACAGTTTTACCCTTAGCTGTCGCTGTTTTAGAGTACTTATCGAAAAATCATCGTAAGTCGAAAACTGAATCCGTAAACTCGGAGATTTTAGAAAACGTGTCTGCTGTGATCATATTTTGGGTGGTTTCAAACCAGTGTGAAAATGTTCATCTTCACAACCTGGTCCAATTTTGTTGCGGCAGTGATAGGCAGTTTTGTAAAAATCACCATAAATTGTAGAAAACTCGTATGCAGATGTGCAAGTAGTCATTTTAAAGGTATAAACCTGACCTATTTGCATATTAAATAGTTTTGAAAAAAAATTTAAGTTTAAGTTGGGTAAAACAGTTCGTGAACAGGTCACAACTTTTCTGTTGTAGGCTGTCAAGTTAAGTTTTAAATATGTTTTGGTGTTTTAACTTGTATCCCCCCCCCCCTCTGAAAACTAAAGAAAACTGGAAAATGTAGGGGTATGAACTCACCTTGAGTGATTTCTTGAAGAGTGGAAGGTCGAAGACGAGGAGTATCAAGTCAAGAACACTTGATGAACTCGTGAAAGCTTGGATGATCCAAAAAGTGAAGTAGTAGCTCAAGAACACTTTCACAAAGTGGTTGGAAGTAGAGAGAAAAAGAGGCTCTCTTGATGGTTTGAGAAGTGTATAAGTGTTTGAAAGTGATCAAAATAAGCCAAGAAATTCTCCAGGGATTTCTTTATATAGATGTTGCTGGAGCAAATTGCTAAAATTGAAAGGATGTTTGCATTGGTTTGTGTGATGTGGATAGGGTTGGACTAATGAGAAGATGACACATGGAGACAAGTGGGCACACTTGACCCACTTGGTATTCTAAGCTATTTTCTTTATTGTAAAAATAATGATTTATAATTAATTAATCCTTAAGAAATGAATAAAATATGAGTTTAGGGAGTTTAAAATGATAAAAATATGAATTTCCGTCAAAAACGTCAAAAACGAGCTTAACAAGCGAAAGTAGTCGAAAACCGGGAATTAGGAGCGAAGCTGCGAGGTTCGGTCCTTAGGAGATGAGGACCGAGAGTAGGGAGAATAAGGAACCGAACGTAAGGCTCGGGTCCGAAGGGTGGGTCTCGGGTCCGAAGGTGCGAGAGGAGCGAAATGGACCGAAGGCTCGGTTCATTTCGGTTGTATTTGAGGTTCGGTCTCGGTGGTTAGCTTCGGTTCCGAAGAGATGAGTTCGGTTCTATGCAGTTCGGTCCTGAAGGGGACCTTCGGTCATGAGAGGGTTCGGTCATAGAAGCTTTGGTCCTTAAGAAGGGTTTCGGTCCTTAAGAAGGGTTTCGGTCCTTAAGGGCTGTTTTTCAAGCTAACTTCCCGTTTTGAGTGATTTTTGGCCAAATTAAGGGTCGGGATGACCCGGATGACTATAAAAAGTTGAGAGAGATTTGGGAGAGATTTGGGAGAGATTTGTTTTTAGCCATTATTATTGTATAATCTCGCAATGAAAGGTTCGTGAACCCCGTTATGCTTCGTTTGTGATTGTTTGATGTCCCCAAAAGGGTCCATAGTCGTGTTTTGATGCATTTAACTCCCTTCTTAGGGTTGTACATTGCTAAACACATAAAATATCCGAAACACTTTAATTCTTGGCATACCAATGCAAATTTTTATAGAATAACTTTTATCATATAAGTCCTAGTTAAGTTTGACCGGTTTGACTTGTTGACTTTGACTTTGACTTGTTGACTTTGACTTTGACTTGAATTTGATGGTTGTCACACATATATCCAATATTTGGGTTTTCTAAACCCTAATTAGGGTTTCCAATCCCATCTTAGCCCAATAGGCCCAATAGCCAGGTCCTTTGATAAATTAGGGTTCATTAGGCCCATTAGGGTTTCAACATCCCAAACGAGTCCAAAATGCAAACAAGGCACACCGCCACCCTACACGGCGGCCGGTGGAGGCAGCCACCACCTCTCGGTGGTGGTTTCAAAATTTTCTATTATCATTCCGGTTACAAATTACAACAATACACACACCCAACAAAATAACACACTCAAATAGAATATACGGTGGTGGTGGTGGCCTTTCCTCAATTTTTCCGGCCAACCCAAACCACACACATCACACACTAATAATAAAAAACAAACCCACACACACGCTTCCGCTTGTAGAAGGAATCCAGCCACCCACCTGGTGGCGTGAGGCAGCGGCAACGGCAAGGAAAGCGGGCAGCACAGCGGCTAATGGAGGCAACGGACGATCATATCGATATCCTACCGAAACAGGTCCGACTGGTCCCTCCCATGACCACAGAACCGGTTCAAACTCCCGTCACAAGGTCTCCGGCGTCCCACATGGAGTTCTTCTCTATCCCCGACGTCCGGTCGTGTGGTGGCGTACAGCGACTCGCGAGCAACAGCATCGGCAGCATGAGTGATCACTTCCCGACTGAACGCTGCCCAAACGGTGGCTTCGCTTTCAGCCACAATAAGAGCAACGACGACTGGGCTCTTCGACCTCCACAATGAAGACAGTAGCAGCGGCGTATCCAATCCGGTAGCGGCAGCGGCGAACAACAAGAAGAAGGGACGGAGAAGGAGAAGGTTAGTGAATCGAGTTGTAGCAGCAGGAATGGTTAGCGTCGTCGGTCGAAATCATGTATGAAATAGGTGGTGGTGCGGCGCCGGAGATCGAAGGAGCATTAGGTGATGGCGGCTGGATGTTAAGGTGATGACCGCTCCTTAGGGTTAGGGTTGGAGAGGCAATGCAACAGTTTATACCCGATCCCTTCAAATCTATTATCCATATTGACAAAACCCGCCCCTCCTTCTCCTCTTCTTTCAAATTAAGTCCTTAATTTTACAATCTAAACCCTCCCTTCTGAAAATCATTACATATCAAGTCCAAAATGTTAGCAAACACCCCTTCACTTATGAAAATCCTTACAAATAATGTCCCAAAATTACACTTTAACCCCTAGAGATTCAATTCTTGTCATTTGGCTTCCCGGAACCAACACCCCACTAATTATTATTTAATTTTGGGCTATAATAATTTAATACAATAATAAAATTACTTCTCAGGGTCCCGGGTTTATTATTTTAATTATTCTATTTAAAACGGGATGTTACAACTCTCCCCCACTTAAATTTGATTTCGTCCTCGAAATCGTTTCTTATCATCCCTTACACACCAGTCAACTTGAACAACACGACTATAACCCCGAGCATAACCCCAGCCTTTCTAAGGCAACCGTAGCCAACCCTCGTAGGGTTCTAAAACCTGAAAATAAACAAATCCCTTGCAATATGATCACATTTACTCAATCCGAATCTGTAGTCTCGAGATGGTACGTCTCATTGACAGACCGCCCACTCTGAATCATTGCAGAATTTATTACACTTAACTCCCAACTGGCTACTCAACTACTGATAACCTGAGGTCCCTACAAGAGTACAAAACCACAGATCATACTCTACTGCCAAGAACTCTTTACTGGACAACAGAGACTCGATAATCCTTCTGGAGAAAGCTAATTCGGGTGACAACATTTCCAAGGATATGATGAACAATGGGAGACAAACCGAGAGGTGAACCCTTAAGTGCCGACGAGACAGTGCTTCCTTTAACTCCCGAACCATCATACAGATAACAATCATCTCTCAAGCATGAACACTCATACCTGGCCCAATCAGCCTCGGCCTGGAATACCAGGCATGCCTACAACGGTTCCAGTCATCCCTAGGATGGAATACCCTCATATCACACCCATGTTTGGTCCAATCAACCCTCGGGTTGGAATACCAAACACGACAGGTCCACTCAATCGTAGGGTTCGGTCATCCTTACGATGGAATACCCTAGATTGGAATACCACTATATACATAACTCGGGTCTAACCCATAACTTGAAATCCAAGGACCTATCGTTGCATCTCATCCAAAAATCCTCTGATTCGCCACAACCGTGTAATACTCATTTGAAATTTCGGGTTCCGGCCCGGTCGCGGAGCTAAAGGACTCCCACATAGTTGCCTCACATGACTTCCAAACAAAATCCTTCCCTGGAACTAGTTGCCACTCGTTATCATGCCACTGCGACTCTAACAACCTCCTGATCCAACCGAACGGATCCATGCGTTGTATCCCGTCGTTACCAAATCCACAGCTACAAGTGATTGCTACCTGGCCAACGGTAGACTTATATCACAAACGACCTTAAGCAATTCCTTGGTTCCTTGATCTCTTAGTTGTAGTGGCGTTTCTGCAGTCCTATCACTGGCTCAACCCGATCCAATCCGTTTGGGTAATTCCGAAATCCAATCTACGGGTTTTCATATCCTCACTGCTACACCCGAACTGGTGGTTACTACTGTCCCTTCCGCGTCCTAATAACACGCTTACGCTATCTACCAACCTAGTGAATGTTGCGGCTACACCCACATACTTACATCACTCTAGCACTATCTGCTGCTAGTGAATGCTACGGCTACCCCCGCAGTCTTACAACACTTTCCATACGAACTGATCGCTAGTGAATGCTACGGCTAACCTCGCAGTCTTACAACACTTTCCATACCAACTGATCGCTAGTGAATGCTACGGCTACCCCCGTAGTCTTACAACACTTTCCATACCAACTGATCGCTAGTGAATGCTACGACTACCCCCGCAGTCTTACAACACTTTCCATATCGGTCGAACACGCGATCGACCTAACACACCACTGAACTTAATTCATGGCTAGAATCCCAACCTGATTTCCCAAGTTCTGCTATCAAGCACCGAGAAGACATGATTCACATGCTGGGGAGTTTTTACCAAACTCCCAACTCACACAACACTCAAACCAAGCAGCTACTAGTGTTCTCTTCCTTCCTGACAACGATGTGAAACTTATCCCATTTTCAAACCGCTCCTGCTTCTGAACCCCAAGATAATTCTCCCCCACTTAGATTCGACTAAGTCCTCACAATACATGAAAGTTGGAGAATTTCCAATCCTTCTCACTCTCCAACGATCGATCTGATGACAACCAACTCTTTCCAACTGGTGCTCCATTACCAGCCAATCACAAATGATCACACACTTATAAGAACTAGTTGAACACTTCCTGAATCCCAGGGAAACCGATAGTCCCTAATACTTGAATGATCCCACACTCAATTCTTGAAGTCCAAAAGATAGATGCTCCAACTAACATCTCAGCAACGAGCTACTTCCCTTGGCGCCCTCACCCACCAACCAATAACGGTTACTAAAACCACTGAATCCTGACCATGCTAAATAACCATCCTGTAGGACCCTGTCTGTAGACCTCCCATATAATACCCTTCTTCCCAAAGTGTTCCAAACTAATCTCTGGCTCTCGAGCTTCTAGAAATCATATCATTCAGGGACTCGCACCCTGACATCACTCACCAGCTCAATTGCCCACAACTAAACTGCAGTAGCTGAAGAAACCTCTACCCTAAACTGGGCTACAACTACTTCCAATACATAGTCTCCAATCCTGAAAGTGCAATAGATCGCACAATATATCCTTACCTCCTTATACGAGAGATCCAAGGCGAATCGGATATTAGCTCCTATGGGTCGGAACGGTAATCGTGTACGCCTCACAAGATACTCATGCCACATCGACCCACCCGAGCTCACCAGCGCTAAAATACTGTCGCCAACCCCTGCGACTAACTGATCCGAGATGGAACACAACCTGTTCCTGGGGTCCCAAGTCTGCTCACTCCTTTGAGCTCAAAAACTGAAAGGGCACAATCCTTGCCCTATAAAACGACATTCCAATCCACCAATTAACCATTCTACTTCCAGCTGCAAAACCCCAGCTGAACATAATCATCACTCCTTTCCAGAGTCCTCACGACTCACATTCCGGCCTCGAGCAAAACCCCTGAAGCCTCAAATATAGAACCTCATGTGCTAGACTCTCCCGCTTGACCTGCAGAATGTAACGAGTACATAATATCTCCTTAGTCCCAAGTAACTGCAACCCTCTGCTCATCAGAATATGTCCCAGTAACAAGTCCCGGTACTAGAAATCTCGACCATCTCCTCCCCTTGCCGTCGTTACAGCTGCTACAGCTGTCGCGACAACCATCTCGGCAATGGCTGCATAGTTCTCGTCGAAATACTCAACCATGGCGGTCTTAATAGACCCAAACATCTCCGGAAACTGTTCCCGGACAACCCCGATCACTTCCTCCCGGATGATCTCACTAACACGGTCCTCTGACAATGCTGGCCTATCCTAGCTGCCAGCTCCCGATCCTAACCTAGATCCGATCTCAAGACGTCTTGTAACCACCATTCTGGTAAGACACCAGAAAGATCTCTGATAATCCATATAATGACAGGGGACCAACTCCCAACCAAACCCTAGGGGTTGTGACTTCCTTGCTACACGTATGGGTCATGTGCTTTCAGTACTACGGGCCCATACTACCTTCCACACCTACCCATATTTGCCTCAAGTATCATCACAACACCCTAACAATACACATACGCATGGCGATCGCTCAATCCTCACTCCTAGAGGAAAGCTAAGTATCTCATAACTGGTCTACTGACCCTGCATAACTCAACCATCCATGAAACTTCCACCAACCCTGTAGCACTAGTGTATGCTAGCCATACATAATGTTGGACCCCATAGACTTTCGAATATCTAATCCTACCCTAAGCTCCCAATCAAACAAGAACAGAACATAAGGCCAAATCAAACATTCTCAGGCTATAAGATCTTAATTATGTATAACTACACTAAGCAACTACAATAATGATGTCAATCTCATGTAAAGGAAATCCTAGGATAGCAGGCATCATGTAATCCGGCAATTCTATCATACAATTCCTGAAGATCCCTAGCCTAGTACTAGCATGTTGTTCTAACATATCACATAATCAGATAACTATATGGTATTCTGGGGTCTACTTACTGGCTCCGGCTGATCGTACACCCTGCATCCTCCTTTACTTATTTTGAAAACCATTTTAAAAATATTTTGAAAATCCTTCCTTGATTTGAGACTGCATTCACACGAATGTTTCTCCAATTCACTCAAACCAAGGCTCTGATACCAACTTGTAACACCCATAAAAATCAAGCCAATTTAAAACTTTTTCAAACATCCAAAAGTCATTAGTTATTACACAATGTTTTCAAAATAGTTTAATATCAGAGTATCCCAGAACCCATAAGTCCAAAACACGAGGATGTGTATGGTCACACCTTCGCCTTGCCAAGATATCTGGGGCACCTGAAACAATAAACTGAAACCGTAAGCACAAAGCTTAGTGAGTTCCCCCAAAATACCCATACCCACAACAATACACATATAATCATAAACAGCATACTATGGGTCCAGTCAACAATCGGGTTGGAATACCCCTGGCCCACAACCAACAGGTTGGAATGCCAACATATTATGGGTCCATGTAACGTTCAGATCCCCAGGTATACTATTTTATTCATTTAACTCGGGATTTGTTGAGTGACTCGATGAGTTGGTTCC